ACCTGTTCTTCCGGTTCAACTTACATGTTTTCTAAGCCAAAACAAGGCTTTGTTTGGGCTACTCTATAAAGCTTGGAACTCAAAGCTAATCCTGATATTTTGAATTAAAAAAGCTTCCTGGATGGGAAACGAAATGTCTTCAAACTTGGAAACAAAGTCCAGTGGATTGTTTTTTTTAACTCAGTATTAATACTTAGTCAAAAGAGTTTTTGTTGACCTAAGTGTCTGGGTGATGAACGTATCCAGACCAGAACACCCGCCTCTTCTTTGGTCACAGAAAGGGAATCAGCCAGATTGAAAAGATCCTCAAAGTGTCCTTTTTTAGATGCCGTCTTTCAGGATCAGGGTTCCCCCTAACAATGGGGTTAATAACACCTCCTCACTAAGAGAGTAATTTATGGACTGAGTCACCTAACACTGTGCTTTGGCCATTATCCTGCTGAGGAACTCATGACCTTTCAGAGTGTTGGCAGTACATGTGGCTGCAGACATGGAGTGAATTTTATCCCATTGTTTTTGAAACCAAAGAGCACTTTTTGTAAATGGAAATTAAAAAAATGCAATCTGGAAACAAAACTTTGAAAAACTTCTGACTCAGGAGAATGTTTTACTCTCTCCTGCATCATCAGCTTAAATCTGAAGGAGGAAGGCCTCCCCACCCATCTACACACTCAATGCTCTAAATTTAGCATCAGTCTGCAATGCAGTGCAAACACGATCTGAATCAGCTCACATTCACAGATTAGTGAGAAAGATCTATTTAAAAGATCTGCAGTTTCTTTTAAAGCTGTGGGGAAATATTTCTAAATTAAATCTTACTGTTCTGTATTTATTGGTTGCTCACATGGAAGAGATTTTATTTGCAGGCCTTTATTATTCATTAATTTGCATGAAACCCATCACCACATTGGGAATGCATCTATTTTTAACTGTGTAATCTACGTAGAAGACTGGAGGCTAATTTCTCCATCACAGGGTAGTTTGCTAGATATAAGGGGAAAGACGGATTATGTAAACAACCATGCAGCACTGCATGTTAATCAATGTGCCAGATATAAACTTGTAATACATCATGTACAAAGTCTGATTATCACACTGACAAGTCCCATCAAAGGCATCAGTAAGAGACACACAATGAGGCTAATTATTAATGAAGTTAATTCTTAGAGATTAACTTCTCTCTCAAAGTTCTTCATGGCATCTGTTCAGAAATTAACCACATGGTATTTGCTAGATGTCATTTGATGCAACAAGCCAAACCTTATTTCCCTCGCCTGTTTTCAGTTACTCCTTGTTTTTTTCGAAGTGTTTTCTAAGTTGCTGATTATCTCATCCTTGTCACTCCTCATCCTTCCTCATCCTTCCTCATCCTTCCTCGTCTTTCCTCGTCCTTCTTGATTCTTTCTCGTCCCTCCTGGTCCTTCCTCATCCTTGGTCATCCTTCCTCATCATTCCTCGTCCTTTCTCATCTTCCTCGTCTTTCCTTATCTTTTGTGATTCTTCCTCATCCTTCCTCATTCTTCCTCGTCATTCCTCATCTTTCCTCGTCATTCCCCATCCTTCCTCATCCTTCCTCGTCATTCCCCATCCTTCCTCATCCTTTCTTATTCCTCCTCATCCTTCCTCTTCCTTTCTTATCCTTCCTCATCCGTCCTCATCATTCCTTATCCTTCCTCGTCATTCCTCATCCTTGCTCGTCATTCCCCATTCTTCCTCATCCTTCCTCATCCCTCTTCATCCTTCCTCATCCTTTCTTATTCCTTTCTTATCCTTCCTCATCCGTCCTCATCATTCCTTATCCTTCCTCGTCATTCCTTATCCTTCCTCATCCTTCCTCATCATTCCCCATCCTTCCTCTTCCTTTCTTATCCTTCCTCATCCGTCCTCATCATTCCTTATCCTTCCTTGTCATTCCCCATCCTTCCTCATCCTTCCTCATCCCTCCTCATCCCAACTCATCCTTTCTCTTCCTTTCTTATCCTTCCTCATCCTTTCTCATCATTCCTCATCCTGCCTTGTCATTCTCCATCTTTCCTCATCCCTCCTCATCCCTCCTCATCCTTCCTTTTCCTTCATCATCCTTCCAATTCTTTCCTCATCCTTTCTCATTCTTTCTCTATTTAGCACTAATTCTTTTACATAGCATTGCCCTACTATCTCTAGTTTCTCTCTCTTTTTCAAGCTGTAAAGATGAACAGCACTCTAAGAACCTTCATTGCAAACTCCATGCGGTTGTGGAAAACCACACTTGAGGCCAATTTCAATCCAACAGTGCAAATCTCCGTCCATTGTGACGAACCACCTCAGCCAAATAATCAACAGGACTGGCTATAGATACCAACTCAGAAACGGAGCCACTATCAGCCACGAGTATATGGATGACGTCAAGCTGTATACTAATAGTGAAGCAGACATTGACTTGCTGATCTACACCCCCAGGATCAGGAGAAGTAGGAAGGAGGGCATCACACTCCCGGGAGGGAGAATAGCAGATCAAGAAGAGAGCTACAAGCCAAGAGGCCATAAGGAAAGCAGCAACAGCCAAATACCTGCAACGAGTAAGGCAATTTATTAAAACTCAGCTCAATGGCAAGAACAAGATCCAGGCAATCAACAGCCATGCCTTACCAGTAATCAGACACCCTGCTGGGAAAATTTGTTGGCCTAAAGAGGATCTCAGGCCACTGAAGTTAAAACATGTAAGCTACTCATCCTGCACAGCTACAGTACTATACACACATTATACACTGAGCGCAAAGAAGGAGGCAGAGGCCTTGTGAGCATCAGAGCCACCATACATGAAACACTGTGAGCGTATCCTGCTGTTGAGGCAGAGCTGCGAACTTACGCACTGTGCATGTGCACATAAGGGATTTCTTCCTCTTGTCTGACTTTACCTCCGATCAGCAGCATCTCTCCACAGCACTGAGGCTGACATGGGGTTTTTTGGTCCTCCATTCTGAGCAGTTAGATCACATCAGATTATCGAGGCATACAGTCTTCCACAATCAGTTTAACCTCTTTCAGGCCCAGGGCCATCTTCTCAGTGAGCAGATTCCCTGTTTTCAGCAAGTCCAAGCAGAAATGTAAAGTTTCTGTTTCCTTCCTGATAGTTATTTCACCGTATTAAATCTCTTCAGAATAGTGATAAACAACCTTATTTTCTTGTGTGCAATAAAGAAATATCTGAAGAACTGAATAAAAGCAGCAGTCAAAAAATGAGACGATGTTCTGGAAGCTCATGTGACAATATACTCTCATCCTAAGGAACTGCTTAGATCCAGAAAATAAATAACAGCTAAAGACAGAAACACACCAAACTCCAAACCATCAGTTTTACACGTGGTTCAAATGATAATCAATCAGATTCGAACCAGCTTGGTCCAGCCGGTCTATCGAGGCGCAGCTTGGTGAGAATTAATTGGTTGGCTGATTTTACTGGCATTAACACAGTGCATCTTGATCTGTGCCTCTGCATTCCTTTTTCTGCCTAGCAACAGGCTAAAATTATTCTGATAGGATGAAAACTCCATTACTGACTATAAGGTTTGCTCAAAATTACTGGAGAATAAGTGGATTTAATGAATATGGTTTAAAATCCAAAATCCTGTTTTTGGATTCTGAGAGGGTCAATCACTTTAAAGTCGTAGGGAAAACATATTTAAAGATCAAATCATTCTGACTTAAACCTGTATATAAACGCACTCTTTATCAGACCATATTGTCCCAAAATTTAGAAAATTTCTATTTAAAAAAAAATCCAGTCTTAAAATCTGTGGGGTTTTTCCTTTATTTTATGCAGGCCAGTTAGTTATACGTCAGCTTTTACACCTAAATTCGGCCAATCATATATCAACGGTCATCTCTCAATCTCAATCTTGATCCATATGCCGCAGCTAATAAACGCAATGGTCAAAATAAGAATAATTTACTTTCCCATTGAGTTCCATCCCAGTGTTCACGGGGATGGACGTCTGTGTCTTCAGCAGGCGTAGAGCTAACAGAACTGGCAGCGCTGCGAGGCAAGGGCTCAGACATGTACGGCTGGAAGCCTTCTACACCAAACCAAGCTTCTGCCGCCCTGGCGTCCTCTTACACAACATCTTCATCCCCGCTTTCCTCCTCTAAATAAAAAAATGTATGACGGAGGAGACTCATCCACGACCTCCGACACAAAACTCTCTTGCATGTTTTCAATGTCCATAGCGTTCCTTGACAGTGTTGTTGCTATGTGCTACTTGGTCCCAATGTAATTTCCCGTTGGGAACCTACTAGCACTAAGTTGCTGACTGGTTAGCACTGGGCTTCGCAAAAAAAAAAAAAAAACGGTCACAATGTAACTTGCTTGCAAACCTTCTGCCACAGCAATCCCGTCCTCTTGATAAACAACCAATCACATTCACTTTATTCACTCGTGTAAAGTCATGAACCACTCAGGAGAATTTGGAAATGAAACGGTAAATCCGTGAGTGTTCCCCATGTGGTTCCAATGTGATCCTCCCTATGTTGTAGCTACATGCATATGGTCCTTTAACACAGAAAAAGGAGCTTCTTTAAAGAGCAAGTCGTATTTTTTTACTTATATGAAATATTATAATAAAAACAAGAACCTGATTCCCAGTTTGGAGATATGCTTTTAACAACTCAGATGTAACTGGTTTTGGTTAATTCCAGGATCTGGACACTAGTTTTTTCCATTCCTTCTGATACTAAATCAGGCTTGCTTCCGGGTTCAGTCTCTGTAAACATGATGATGCCTTTATAGTGTGATATGGTTACCTTGACAATGACACTGAGTTTTTTTTCACGAGGAACCCAATAGCATCCCAGGCATAGAGGATCCCCAGTTTTCTGTCAAACCTGCAGTTTCATTTTTTCTGCAGAAAAAAAAAAAAAAAAAAAAAAACATCGTCCTGGGACACTTTTTTCTGGAGAGAAGCTTGGTTTGATTCTTAGGAAAAAGCTGGGTTTGGGCTCAGGCACCAGAGCAGATAACAGCCTTAGTTACAGATTAACAGAAACTATCTGAAGGTCCAGCAGGAACACCTGACACACTCAGAGACTAAGCTAATTGTTTTCCAGACTCCGAGATGGGAAGCGTGTTCGAGCTGACGTCCTGTTTGCTGCTGTTGGTTGGAGCCGTGACGGCTCAGACAGGTACGGTCCGATTAACCTGCAGAACCTATGAGGCTTTCTGAGGAAATGCTGCAAAAGATTACAACTGGTGTTTCTGGTCTTCGTAAACCTGGCAAAGTTTACCTCAAATCTCAAAAAATTATCCAGATTTCTGGGTAAAACTGGACTGTTGGTGTGAAGTAAAGTAATAAATCTGCTTGATGTGAGGTAAAATAAGCAGAGAAACCTCAAAGTTTTTGTTTGTGTAGAACTTTGCTGCAGGAAGCAGCTTTTCTTTCTGCTGACTGGTCATATAACCAATGTGCTGTAAATGATCCTCGAGGCTTTTATTTACAAGGAAAAAAATCCTACTACCTTAAATCTTTATCCATCCATGTTGGAAATGTTCATCTGTTTACATTGATCTGTTGATTCTCTATGTTAAAGCAGAAAGATAATTCTTTAAAATGCATTAAAGTGATTGGAAATACCTTTAGGAGTTAAGCTGCAGCAGATCTCTGCATTATCAGATAAAAAAATAAATAAAACAAAAAATAGATACAAATTTTATTTGAATTTTAATATTGTTGTAATTCTCTTTGAATGTTTCGATAAGTAAGTTGCTTTTCTCGCCTGTGCCCCTTGCAACAGGAGCTGCAGGGTTCGGCCATCGTTAAAGGGATTACTGGTCTTTGTTTGCTGAAGTACTAAAGCTTTTGAGCCAGATGAGGAATTGCATTTATACATTTATTTATGACCTTCTGGTTCTGTGTTGATATGACACCAGATCATATGTTTTTAAGTTTCTCCTACCTTAATAAGTAATGGTCAAACTTCATATACCTAATGGAGCAGAACCAAAAGAAAAAAACTAACCAAAGTCCAGAAAAAGAATCCGACAGATCTGCTGACCTACCAAATTCTGCAGTTTTGGATTATTAGTTTTTTTTGTTAGAGCTGGATTTTATCCAGCAGAACCGGTTCTGGCGACATCCAGAGATCCAAACATTTCACCAGAATCCAGTCCTGAGTCACATGAATGTCAGGTTGTTGCTGCTTAGTCTGTATGCTGAGCTCAGAAGCTGAGGACCACCACAGCCTGAGGAACAGCATGTGAACCGGCCCTGCTACGGTTATTTTGAAGACATGCTGCCATTGCTGGAAGGAAACAAAAAAAAAATCAGCTCACAATGAAAAGGAGGTACCGTTTAAGAGAGTTGGTTCAAAGAAACTCTCAGCAGCTTCTACGGGTCGGGTTTGATTGGTGGCCCAGTTAGAGTCCGATCAATTCTGATAAAACTTTTTCAATGACATCTGACCTCTGTGCAGCTCCGTCCACCCACTTTGAGCGGGCGCTGCCCCAGTGGCTGACTGGGATCGTCGCTGTCTGCGGATTCCTCGTCCTCACCTTCATGGCCTTCCTGGTGAAAAAGGTCTGGTGTGAGAATCCCAAAGCACCAGTCAGGTTTGTCTTCCCCACCTTTGACTCTACAATACAAACATCCTGATAAAGCTAAAATCCTCTGCTGATTGGTCGATTCCACTGATGGAACAGATCATCTGTAAATCTAAAAAATATTTTTAATGTAAAGGAGAGGTGCTGATAAGTGTTTCTGTGCAGGAGAAACACAGACCAGAACCCCTACAGCACGAGCCTGGAAAGCATCAGGTAGAGACCAGCTCATTCTAACATTGAGAATCCAGTCAGTGTCAGTTAGAGAACGACTTGTTCTAACATGTAGAACCCACACATCAGAAAATGACTTGTATGAATGGCTTGTTCTAAAATAGGGAACCCTGAGAGCATCAGGTAATGAATGACTAGTTCTAACTTAGAGAACCCATACAGCATCGAGTAGAAAATGACTCATACGAATGGCTCGTTCTAACATAGAGAACCCTAAAAGCACCTGTTAAAAGATGACTCGTTCTAACAGAGAACCCAGACAGCATCTGGTAAAGAATGACTCGTACTATCATTGGGAACCCAGACAGCATCTGGTAAAGAATGACTCGTACTATCATTGGGAACCCAGACAGCATCTGGTAAAGAATGACTCGTACTAACATAGAGAACCCTGAAAGCAACCGGTAAAAAAACGACTTGTACTTACATAGAGAACCCTGAAAGCATCAGGTAGAGAATGACTAGTACTATCATTGGGAACCCTGAAAGCATCTAGTAAAGAATGACTCGTACTTTCAGTGGGAACCCAGACAACATCTGGTAAAGAATGACTCGTACTAACATAGAGAACCCTGAAAGCATCAGGTAGAGAATGACTCGTTCTAACATAGATAACTCTGAAAGCATCAGGTAGAGAACAACATGTTCTAACATAGAGAACCCTGAAAGCAACGGGTAAAAACAACTTGTACGTACATAGAGAACCCTGAAAGCATCAGGTAGAGAATGACTCTTTCTAACATAGAGAACTCTGAAAGCATGAGCTAGAGAACAACATGTTCTAACATAGAGAACCCTGAAAGCAACCGGTAAAAACAACTTGTACGTACATAGAGGACCCTGAAAGCATCAGGTAGAGAATGACTCTTTCTAACATAGAGAACTCTGAAAGCATCCGGTAAAAAAATGACTCGTTCTAACATAGAGAACCCTGAAAGCATCAGGTAGAGAATTACTCTTTCTAACATAGAGAACTCTGAAAGCATGAGCTAGAGAATAACATGTTCTAACATAGAGAACCCTGAAAGCATCCGGTAAAAAAATGACTCGTACTAACATAGAGAATCCTGAAAGCATGAGCTAGAGAACGACATGTTCTAACATAGAGAACCTTGAAAGCATCCGGTAAAAAAACGACTCGTACTAACATAGAGAACCCTGAAAGCATCAGGTAGAGAATGACTCGTTCTAACATAGAGAACCTTGAAAGCATCAGGTAGAGAATGACTCGTTCTAACATAGAGAACCCTGAAAGCATCCGGTACAAAAACGACTCGTACTAACATAGAGAACCCTGAAAGCATCAGGTAGGGAATGACTCTTTCTAACATAGAGAACTCTGAAAGCATGAGCTAGAGAACAACATGTTCTAACATAGAGAACCCTGAAAGCAACCGGTAAAAACAACTTGTACGTACATAGAGGACCCTGAAAGCATCAGGTAGAGAATGACTCTTTCTAACATAGAGAACTCTGAAAGCATCCGGTAAAAAAATGACTCGTTCTAACATAGAGAACCCTGAAAGCATCCGGTAAAAAAATGACTCGTACTAACATAGAGAATCCTGAAAGCATGAGCTAGAGAACGACATGTTCTAACATAGAGAACCTTGAAAGCATCCGGTAAAAAAACGACTCGTACTAACATAGAGAACCCTGAAAGCATCAGGTAGAGAATGACTCGTTCTAACATAGAGAACCTTGAAAGCATCAGGTAGAGAACGACTCGTTCTAACATAGAGAACCTTGAAAGCATCCGGTACAAAAACGACTCGTACTAACATAGAGAACCCTGAAAGCATCAGGTAGGGAATGACTCGTTCTAACATTTAGAACTTTGGCAACAACTGAGATCATACTCCGAGAACCGAGTCAGAGTCAATAAGAAAACGACTTGTTCTAACTCAGAGAGAATCATGTAGAGCTCATTCAGCTCATTCTTACTCACCGATCTTACATAGCGTTTGGAGGAGAACAGTTTGTTCTACCTTAAAGAACTCAGACAGTATCAGGAAATGAATTATGCATTTTAACTTAGAGAACCCACAAAAAAGAACAGCTTTTTTAACTCATAGAAACCCACAGCGCCAGATAGAAAACAGCTCGTTCTAACTCAGAGAACAGTATTAGGTAAAGAACAGTTGATCCAACTAAGGGAACCTATAAATTCTCTGAAGGAGAACATCTTGTTCTATCCTTCAAACAGGACTTTAGGTAAACATGAGATCCTAATGAATCCAATTGTGTTTATTTGCAGGAGAGGCAGCGGGCAATCGGAGAACAATAAATATGAGGACCCCGAAGCCTTCAACAGGTACATGGACAACATGAGGTAGAGAATGAATCGTTCTAGCATGAAAACCTGGGCAGAGGATAAGGACAGTTTGTTCTAAGTGAAATAAACTGGACGTGGACAGGTAGGGAATGGCTCGTCCTAACAAAGAAAACCTGGACACCGTCAGGCAGAGAACAGCTCTAGCTTAAGAACCTGATACAGAACCTCATGTAAAGCCATAACTTCCTGCTTTGTGTTCCTGCTTCCTTTTTGTCTCTTTGATCCTAGATTTTAGGCTTCACTCTTTCAGTAGTTTTTGAATGTAATTGTTATCTATCTCTTTGAAAACAATTTAAAACACATTAAAATTTTAACACTTTTTAACAAATACCATTCGATTAAAAATGAAGTCATTAGTCATTTTAAGTTAACTTGATCTGTGAGAACCTGCTCAGTAAAGGAGGATCTGAGAACATCTGGCACTGCTCCTCAGCTTCTCCTCTGCTATAAGGCTCTGGGATCTGCTATTTTAATCCCACAACAAGGACTGAGCTTTGACTAGGCCACTCTTGAATATTCAGCTAGTTGTCCTTGGATAGTTTCTGTGGATCTTCTGTTTCATGCTGGGCATTATTGTAGCTGCAGATACTTGCAGATGAACCAAATGTAGATCCTGGTTTCTAGTTCTTCCTCACCAATCTTGAGGAACCGCTGCCACTCTTCTGGATATTTGGCGTTTAACAGATCCAAGGGCCTTCTTTTAGAACTCTTTAGTGATATCTTTGGATAAATATGGGGTAGGATTTCAGACGTTTTTTCAACAGGGACCTCATCTTTGCTGGTTCTCACAGTGATTTTACTGTTGAAGAACCTGGACAGCAGCTCTAGATCATAGCTCTGCATGTTTAGTCAGCCCTAACAGGAACAAGCCGCTTTGGCATCACCTAATTGGACTTTCTTCTGAGACGTGATTAAATCTCCTTTTAGACCACATCTTATTCATGTACATCTGACACCAAATATGTCAAAAAGTCAAACAATATGGATGTTATCTTAGAAAGTATTGGAAGGTGAAACATCTGGAAACTGGCCTTAATCTAAGGTCATGTAGCCTGGAAATATACTGCAGAAAATTTGAACATGTTTCATTGGATCAGGAAAGCAAACCCTTGCTAAGGCAACATTTTTTAGAATAATAATATCTTTATATCTGGAACCCCCTGCCCCTCCTTCCCCATCTGTTATGTCACCCTGGGCAACTTCCTACATAAGCTGGATCAGGACCAATCGCTTCTCAGCCAAGCAATCTTTATTTATATTGCGTCATGACTCAGTAGATTGACCAAAGTGCTTCAAAAGCTAAAAGCAATAAACAATAAGAACACAGTAAAACAATAAAATATGACCATGAAAAACGCACAGATAAAGAGATCTTCCTCAGTAATTCATCAGCTCCACAGAAACGTGACTGAATCATATGCTATTTTGCTTCAGTTCTTTACAGGCGTTTTTTTTTTTTAATGATGGACCCTTGGACAAGGATCCATGATCGAGTCCTGACTCTTTCACTGCCTATTAGATGGAGAACTGAAGCCGCTGCGGATTATAATTACACTTTTTTTTTAATGATTTTTGCTTCATCAGATTATAGGTTTATTACCTGAAACCCTGATGTTTGGATGTGAAGAGACTAAATATGCAGCATGTTTTATTTAATTTAAAAACTTTTTAAATAGTGTAAATGAAAATATTTTTATGTCAATCAAATTTTTTTTGTAAAAACTAGAATACAATAGAATAATCCAACTCAAACTGTGTGCAAAAAAAATCAACCATACACAGAAAAAAGGAAAAGCTTTTGTAAGTTATCAGCATGGAGGTGGAACCCTTTTGATTTTGCTGGGAGCAGTGATGGTTCTAAAGTCTAACACTTGCTGGAAGGAAGGATCTGTGATAACGCTCCTTTGTGCAGCTAGGATTAGTTTATGGTGTTTATATGATTTGGCTAAATCCAATTTCAAGGTGATAAATCCTGCTCAGATATGTGCTTGGATTTTTATGTCTGCAGGCCGAGGGCCAGCGTTGACTCTGGGAAAGACAACATCTATCAGAGGAGCCTGGACGATCTCAGGTAGGAACTAAACTGACTCTGGTCTCATGGTAGACTCAACCAGACCCACTCCTTTTTAACAAAACAGCAGCAACTAGAGGAAAAGGTTAAAGACACAGATAAGTAACAGATGTTCAGAGGGGCGTTTAAACCAGGTTCCTCAGCTAATCTAGAATCAGCTGAATAAGATTACATATTAATAGCACACTGATCGGCGCATTGGATCGGGCCTCGATCAGAGCATCGATGCACAAAACAGTAGAGTAAAAACAAGCTTGTAACAATAAGTGAAGATTAATTTGGTGATTTATCAAAGAAGAAGAAGTCTGGAGAAAAGTTTAAGAGCAGGAGCCTGAAGACCCAGCAGTCCAGGACTTCACCCAGTGGTTTAAAAGCTCTCTGTGGGGACCCAGTCTGCCTGTAACAAAGAAAATGTAAAAAAGAAAATTTCCTCTTCCTCTGTTTATCATCCACATCTAATTAGCTCATTTATGTCCGGTAAGCTCGTTTCAAACGGACTACAAAAATTGATTCCTGTAAGCCTTTTTGCTGTTTTATCTTAATATTTTACTGGAGGTGTATAAATATTCTATGATTTTAAAGAGCCCGATAAGAGCAACAGAGATAACAAAGCTATCACGTGTCGCTCATTGAGCAAGAAGTTTAGGAAGCTGCTTTTCCAGATGTTCTGAGCATGGACTTACACTGCCGGTCCAGCAGAGGGCGCAGTGACAGCAAAAGTCCAATCAATGAGTTCAATGAAAAATTCTCTGCTAAATAATAATCATTTTCAAACAAAATTTAGCAAAATATAACTGATGAAAGGAATTTTAATATTAAAGGAAATACGTCCCTTCATAATAAGTAACAGCTTCATAAATCAAAATACATACAATACTATACAATAATCTATAAACTTTGTTTATAGATGGAAATGATAACTGTTTCCTAGACAGTTGATAACAACTGTTTCCTAAAGTGACCAATTGAGATGCCAGAAGTATTTCTGTATTTCTGCACACTTGCAGAAGAGCTGATGAAATGAATGGATTGGTGAACAGAAACAAAACGCTGGATTTACCATTTTAACTCTATATATTTTCTAAACTAAGGTTAGCGAAGTTCCCTTCATAGATTACCTGATATTAAAATACTCACCCTGTCATTTGTGTGCATTTTCTAAAAGTAACCCATCATCCAGCTCAGATGTTGACTGTTGGAAAACATTTCCAGTCAGAATGTGATCTTTTTTGTTTTTGTTTATGACACTTGACAGTCACCTGCATATAACATTCTTAAATTAAAGAAACTTGACTCTAAAGGCTGTTTTTTTTTTGTCAGCTTCTCAAATTACTCTTTATACCTCTGTTAATTGAGAAATCCTGCACAGTGAGGGAATCTGTATAGATTAAACAAGTAAAAATAATAATGGATTATAAAAGTCATTATTATAACAAATATTGATAAATATATCCTTTTTGAAATACAAAAAAATGAAGATGATCTTTTCATGGTTTGAATAATTTTTCAGGTTTTCTGGTTATAGATGATGATGATGGTGATTAGTGAGAGCAGCTGAATCTTCTCCAGCATTCAGAAACTGCTCGATCAGTTCTAAAATCTTTTCATATAACCTGTGTGAGCTCAGAATAGTGCAGCTTCATTTATAAACTCTGTTTGTCATTCAGTCCCAGGGAAGGCAGCAACATCTACGACGACCCTGACGATAAATCTACGTCCATGTGAACGTCCAGCAGAGATCCTGGCGGCTCGGAGCTCCAGCTTTCTTTAAATAAATCAGTGTTGAATCTTCCTGTTGTATTACGTGATCGTGTAATATCCCGGCTCTGATGTAGAGACCAGAACCTGGTAACGCAGGGAGCTCCTTAGTTTTATAGTTTCCCTTGTGTTTCCTCTCAGACTCCTCCTTTCCTGATTAATCAGTTATCTTTATAACCAGCTGCTGCCTCAGCTCTCCTTGCTGATCACTGGACCCACGACCCGCTGTAAATGATTGACCTCAAGAGTCCACAGGAAACAGCCTCAGGAGGGAAAGCATCTGAAGAACTGGAGCTGAATGTGATTTATGAGGAAGTTAAATGATGGAACATTAAGAACACTTCAGAACTTCTGCTCATCTTCCTGTGACCCGGGTTCCTGGTTCAGAACAGCATGCTCATGAGCTGTAGAGCTTAAAAACAGAAACAAACAGCAATATATGCATATTTGTTAGAATGCTTAATGATGCTTTTAATTTATAACAGAAATGAATTTCTAAGATCCACATTGAGAATGTAGAGAACCCTGATTACAGAATCCAATATGTCTGCCACTCTTTGTTAAGGAAGTTCAAACTTGTCTACACTGAAACTTATCAACGTTGTTGTCAATGTGTTGCTGGTGACTGATCTTCTGTCAGAGGAGGTTCCACACTCAGATTCAGGTGTTAGGAGAAGCTCAGCAGGCCTTAAGCTTCATTTAAATGACTTGAGCCAATCTACAAGCTGCTAATTGACACTGATGAGAGATCAGGGTTAAAAAAGGTCCTAGTCAAAGTCCAGACCAGGCTAAACAAACCCTTGCTCATTACTTCTAAATAATTAGGCAATGTTTTCACGGAGTAAAACTTTTTAATACAAACATCTCTTTTTAATATTTTTAGGTATTTAATTTGATCATTCTAATAAAAGTCGGAATACTGAAGAACTATTTTATATTAACATAATAAATGGAATCTAAAATGAACAGAAACGGCATGTTAGAAATATTTATTGCGACTGCAGCTAAAGATTGCTTGATTTTTTTTAAATGACAGATTGATAATCGAGAGCTTAATCTGGAATTTAATTTATTCTAACCCAGCCTTTCTATGGCACACATCTCTACGCCTGCTTCCTCTGTCAGAACCAGAACAGTGGTCTTTCTCCTCTGCAAACTGCTTGCTTTCATACCAACTGCACTGTAGAATCCTTTTTTTCTAGAAAAACAAGTTTTTGTTCCTTTGTTCAAATGTAAAATGAGCTTAAATAAAATATTTTTGAATGGATTGTCAGTTAATAGAAAACTTGTATTTGATATTCACTTACATAAAATCACAAAATCAAACCTACTCTGTGGTGATTCATGTTTGTTCCCAAGAAAAATTCCCCACAGAAAGTAAAGTCTGTTTATTTGTCTTTATTAACGGTTCAATAATCACCATTCCATCCTTCTCACATTAAATTAAAATCATTTCCAGGAGCATTTGACAACATGACAAAGACACATATCAAAACTGGACCCATTTAGGGTTCTGACAGGATGTGGCACAAAGCTGCAACACAAACCTCTAAAAAATACAGATCAATTCATGTGAAATCAACAATAAATTACATTTCATCTACAAAAAATTAAGACATTGAATATGTGTACATGGCTGATGTTTGCAGACTTTTTCCCTTTAAAGACAAACACCTCATTAGCAGCTAATGCTAACAACAAGCTAGCTTAGCTCTTCAAATAAAAATAAAGAAATCATTCAGAGTTTTCACACGTCTTCCTAAACGTGTTAATTCACATTTAACATTTAAGAGATTCGGACGTATTAACAGTAAAATGTTTCGGTTGACAGCATTTGAGCAGATTGGCTAATTTGCTAGCTAACAGCAGGTCACATTATACGAAATATTAAACAAGTTCATTTTAAATGTTTTGTTAAAATGAGCCTAATTACCAATCTTTATGCCATAGACGGTGTTTGAATACAGATTAAATCATGTTAAACTGCAAAACTGAACTTATTTTCAACTAAACATTTAAACCTAACCAACCTAGTGAGCTAATGACATCAGGCTGATAGTTTTGTTAGTCTAGTTTCAATAAAGGGGATAAAACCAGCATGTTAGCTCATTTGCACACAAAACCTACATTTATGAGCAGCAGCAAACCAAAGAAACGACATAACTTGTTTTTTGTTCCAGAGAAACATTTTGGTTTTACTTTAAGAGGAACATTTTAGCCACATGTTTAAGACTTGAGATATTTTGAAGGAAAACGACCATCAGCAGCATTAAAGCTAACATATTGAATTTTTGAAAAGAAGTTAAAGACGAACTCTTTATAACTTACAATTTCCAGAGAATAGTTATATAAGTCTTTACTTCAATCATCTGTTTTAGTTGGTGTTTTTTTCAATGTGTTTCGAATTTAAAAACATTGGCCTAAGAAATGCTAAGAAATGTAATCTATTGAGATCATTAATTTGAGGAGCTGAATCATTTGTGAATCATGTTTAAAGGAAGTGAGGAGGTTCAACAACAGTTTAACAGTTTAGTATGAAATTAATGATTTATCTACATTTTACTGTGACCTTGAAATAATTAGTTAATAGTTTCTAGGAAAACCTCCTGGAGGTTTTCGGGAAAACCTCCTGGATTTGTTTTTTTCAGGAAAACCTCCTGGATTTGTTTTTTTTTTTAGGAAAACCTCCTGGATTTTTTCAGGAAAACCTCCTGGATTTTTTTCAGGAAAACCTCCTGGATTTTTTTCAGGAAAACCTCCTGGATTTTTTCAGGAAAACCTCCTGGATTTTTTTCAGGAAAACCTCCTGGATTTTTTTCAGGAAAACCTCCTGGATTTTTTCAGGAAAACCTGAATGAATATTTTCTTGAAAACTCACAGATTTTCCTGAAAACAATGTGTTTTAGGGAAAATATTTAGGGTATTTTGAGCAACTCCTTTTAGCAGAAGCAAAATTTTTTGGAAGTATCCTTCTGAACAAAATTATAAATAGGAAACTGATGGAAAACACCCAGATTTACAGGCATGCTACAAAAAATCTGGTTTGCAGGATCTTTTCAACAGAATGATTTTAATATGAAACACAAACAGCCAGTTTCTTTTTTTGTTATTCGAGGAACACAAAGAATGTCAATCTGTAGCTTTTATATCTAGACTAAATTTTAACCCATTCATGATAAATATCATGAGGAAGACATTGTTTCTGTTGTCAAGGCGACGGAAATACCAACAACATCCTGAGAGCTGTCTCTATGGAGACAGCGAGCATTAACTCTTATAGAAAGTCTATATATGTATTAAATCTGCATGTATTAAATTAAAAAAATAATTTTATCAAAAGATGGCACATTTTTACATTGATGGAAAAAACTAGGGATGGCTCTTTCTGTGCAACAGAAACTACAGGCTTGTGAAAAAGAAAGTGAACTGATTTAAGAGACTAAACTGGAGACTTTTAGATGGTGTTTTTAAGACAAACTGAACTTTTAAATCAAAATTATTTCTTTAGCTGTGAAAATAGACCCAAATCTTCAGACTGATCCCAGACAATTTCTGCTCAAAATGAAAAAGAAAAGCTTAGACTGCTGGTTTAAGCTACAGCGGTTTATATTAGCAGCACCGGTGTTATGAAACAGGGACTAGTTCTGTTTGGGTCGAGTTTGAGCCAGAATCTCTGGATAAAATTCATGCATAACAGGAACTGCAGTTTCTTTAAAACTTAAACAATGTTCTACTTTCTGAACCACAGAACCAGAATAATTTTTTCTTGGCTTCTCTGTACTTTCTTTTTGTGACCTAGTGTGACATCATTGTTGCCTAGTTTTGCAGCCAGGCTTCTGCTAAAGCTTCTGCATGCATCACCATGACGTGTCATCAGTTCTTAGCATGCCGTGATACCCCCCCTCCCCCTCCCTGGGAATGTTCTGGACATAAACCCTCAGTAGAAAAGTGACCTAAGGAATTAAGCGTCCCTTTTTTCTTATTAGCATCAGAGCCGTTGGTGTTTCCTGTCTGGCGTTTAACATCTGGTGATCAGCACCGGATGAACAGCTTATTGACAGGATGACATCATCCAACCAGATTGTTCCGTGGTTTCGGTTTACAGCCATTAGAACCGGTGGATGAGCCTCAGAGACTGGGAAGACAGAGCAGGAAGCCCAGTGGGGCTGCTATAATCAGAGTGACCACTAGGTGGCAGAAAACCAAACAATAGATTGTTGAATTTGTTGGTATCCTGAATATTTTTTGATGAGCTGTGATTCCATGAGAGATCTAGCTTTGAAAAGAGGAGAATCTCATATAAGCTTATGAGGGACTCTGCAGAAGGTGAGACACCAGTCTGAGAGATGGGCGGAGTCAGGTGGAGGTAAAGCGGGAGGACATGGCCTTCTTAGAGACAGAGGACAACTGTGGGACCAGTAGGGGTATTTTTTGCATGTTGGGAAGCTCAGAGTAACAGGTGTCCTCCATGTGTGTCCAGGTGTGCTTGTTAGGACAGAATGTCCAGTGTGACGGATCCTTTCTGTCTCTTCAAAATGGTCACCGCCTGCTCATGAGTCACTCCCTGAAGACTCTCTCCGTTTACAGATAAGATCTGATCGCCACGTTTCAGGCGTCCGTCCACTGCAGCAGCTCCCTGAAAAAAAGAAACAGCAAGATCAGGATGGAAGGATGGATGATTTCATTCAATTCAGTTCATTTATATAGCGCCGATTCACATCACGTCATCTCAAGGCACTTTAAAGAAGCAGCTCAACCAGATTATACAGTGTGATTGGTTTTAAGTTTTCTATCTAAGGAGAACCATGGATGGATGGATGAACACATAACTGATGGATGGATTTATGGACTGGCGGTTCTGACCTTGCTAAAGACGGTTTTCACGTAGATGGGAAGGTCTCCATGGGGACTGCCAAAGCCGCCAACGATGCTGAACCCGAGTCCCTCAGAACCTTTCTCCAGAGTGATGCTGCGGGGCCGTGGACCTCTGGGGAGAGAGTTCAGAGGTCAGGCCGAGGCCCAGGAGATTTCCAGCAGCTTCTTTGTTTATGTGTATCTGGTCTTACTCTGGGTCTACTGGGTTCTGCGGGTCGGTGCTGGCCAACAAACTGGAGCTGCCAGTCAAACTCTCCACCTGCGAAGCGATGGCGCTGATGTTTGTGTCCGCCACCACCTGGAAAACAGCCAGAAGCAGAACCTGCTCATCTGACACCTGAGATCTGATGGGGTCTCCTCAGACAGTTTACTCAGATAGGTGAACCGGAACCAATTAGGAACCAAGATGAAACTTTAACTGGATAAAATGTTGTCTTTGTGTTAAACAGCTAGAAATGGGATGTACAACATCTAAACATTAAAAGAATCCCTCAGTTTTGACAGGAGAACTGAACTGACCGGTTCTTTTTTGGGCTCCAGCCACGAACTGCTGATCAGCTACATTGTACACTGATCATCACCATAGCGACGCCTAAATGAATGGTCCATGGTCCTACACACAGGTCCATTATTGGGCTCAGACTGACAGAACCTAATCATCCTCCATTCACTGACAGGAAGATGAGCTGTTCTTTAGACCAACTGCGTTGCTTCATTAGAAGTTTGTCAGATATAATTATTTCCAATATTTTTTCCTCAAATTGTATTTTCCCAAAATATCGATGCCTTTTGACTGAAACTTTTTTCAAAGTTTAAATAGTGAATTGCATTTTTTTTTATTTTAATTTACAAAATTATGTTTCGAAATTTAGATTCATGTTCGTCGGCGAGAGCCTGGTGGTCAGGCTCTTCCTTGCGGGACCCGGCCGGGCCCAGCCCGAAGGAGCGACGCAAGGCCATCCCCCAGTGGGCCCACCAACTTCAGGGGGAACCATGAGGGACCTGTGCATAGAGGATTGGGCGGCAGCCAGAGGCGGAGACCTCGGCGACCTGATCCGCGGGCGCTTAAACTGCCTCTGGGGACGTGGAATGTCACCTCACTGGCAGGGAAAGAGCCCGAGCTTGTGCGGAAGGGGGAGCGATACCGGCTAGAAATAGTTGGGCTCTGGAACCCAGCTCCTTGAGAGAGGCTGGACTCTCTTCTACTCTGGAGTGACCCGCGGGGAGAGGCGGAGGTCGGGGGTGGGGCTGCTTGTCTCCCCCCAGCTCAGCCGTCTCGTGTTGGAGTTCACCCCGGTAGATGAGAAGGTCACATCCCTTCGAAGGGAGGACTCTGACAGTTGTTTCGGCCTATGGGCCGAACGGCAGTACAGAGTACCAGGCCTTCTTAACATCCTTGGGGAGGGTGTTAGAAAGCGCCCCTCCCAAGGATTCCATCATTCTGCTGGGAGACTTCAATGCCCACATGGGAAACGACAGTGACACCTGGAGGGGCGTGATCGGGAGGAACGGGCTCCCAGCTCTGAACCCGAGTGGTGTCTCATTATTGGACTTCTGTGCAAGTCACAGATTGTCCATAATGAACACCATGTTCGGGCATAAGGATGTCCATCGGTGCACCTGGCACCAGGACACCCTAGGCCGAAGGTCGATGATCGACTTTGTAGTCGTATCTTCTGATCTTCGGCTTCGTGTCTTGGACACTCGGGTGAAGAGAGGGGCGGAGCTCTCCACCGACCACCACCTGGTGATGAGCTGGATACGCTGGAAGAGGAGGAAGCCTGAAAGACTCGGCAGGCCCAAACGTGTAGTGAGGGTCTGCTGGGAACGTCTGGTGGAACCCTCGGTCAGGGACGTGTTCAACTCCCACCTCCGGGAAAGCTTCTCTCAGGTCCCGAGGGAGGTTGGAGACATGGAGTCCGAATGGGCTGTGTTCTCTGCCTCTATTGTCGATGCGGCTGCCCATAGCTCTGGCCGTAAGGTTTGCGGTGCCTGTCGTGGTGGCAATCCCCGAACCCGGATGTGAACACCGGTAGTAAGGGATGCTGTCAAGCTGAAGAAGGAGTCCTATCAAGTTTGGTTGGCTTGTGGGACTCCTGAAGCAGCAAGCAGGTACCATGAGGCCAAGCGTGTCGCGGCCCGGGCGGTTGCAGAGGCAAAATCTCGGGCCTGGGAGGAGTTCGGAGAGGCCATGGAAAAAGACTATCGGTTGGCCTAAAAGCGATTCTGGCAAACCGTCCGGCGCCTCCGGAGGGGAAAGCAGTGCTTCGCTAACACTGTTTTCAGTGGGAGTGGGGAGCTGCTGACCTTGAAGGAGGATATTGTCGGGCGGTGGAAGGAATACTTTGAGGATCTCCTCAACCCGACAGACACGCCTTCCGTGGGGGAAGAAGAGACGGGGTGCTTGGGGCTGGATTTGTTCATCACCCAGGTGGCAAGGCTTGGGGGTGGACAAGATCCGTCCTGAATATCTTAAATCTCTGGATATTGTCGGGTTGTCATGGTTAACATGTCTCTTCAACATTGCGTGGAGGTCGGGGACAGTCCCCCTGGATTGGCAGACTGGGGTGGTGTTTCTCCTCCATAAGAAGGGGGATCGGAGGGTGTGTTCCAACTATCGGGGAATCACACTCCTCAGCCTCCCCGGAAAGGCCTATCCCAGGGTGCTGGAGAGGAGAGTCCGGCTGATTGTCGAACCTCGGCTGCATGAGGAGCAGTTTGGTTTTCGTCCTGGACGTGGAACAGTGGACTAGCTCTACACCCTCAGGAGGGTGCTTGAGGGTTCTTGGGAGTTTGCCCAACCAGTCCACATGTGTTTTGTGGACTTGGAGAAGGCATTCGACCGTGTCTCTCGTGCTGCCCTGTGGGGGGTGCTGGGGGGTGGAGTATGGAGTCGGGGGCCCTTTATTAGGGGCCATCCATTCTCTGTACAAGCGGAGCAGGAGTCTGGTTTGCATTGCCGGCATTGAGTCGGACCTGTTCCCAGTGCATGTTGGACTCCGACAGGGCTGCCCCGCTGTCACCGGTCCTGTTCATAACTTTTATGGATAGGATTTCTAGGCGCAGCCAAGGATCGGAGGGGGTCTGGTTTGTGGACCAGTGGATCTCGTCCCTGCTTTTTGCGGATGACGTAGTTCTGCTGGCTCCCTCCTGCCAAGACCTACAACGTGTGCTGGGGCGATTCGCAGCCTAGTGTGAAGTGGCCGGGATGAGAATCAGCTCTTCCAAGTCCGAGGCCATGGTTCTCGACCGGAAAAAGGTGGCTTGTCCCCTTCAGGTTGGAGGAGAGTCCCTGCCTCAAGTGGAGGAGTTCAAGTATCCTGTTCACAAGCGAGGGAAGAATGGAGCGGGAGATCGATAGACGGATCAGTGCGGCTGCTGCAATAATGCGGACGCTGCACCGGTCTGTCGTGGTGAAGAGAGAGCTGAGCGAAAAGGCAAAGCTCTCAATTTACCGTTCGGTCTATGTTCCTACCCTCACCTATGGTCATGAAATCTGGATCATGATCGAAAGAAAGAGATCCCGGATACAAGCTGCTGAAATGAGCTTTCTCCGCAGGGTGGCTGGGCTCTCCCTTAGAGATAGGGTGAGGAGCTCGGTCATTCGGCAGAGGCTCAGAGTAGAGCCGGTTCTCCTCCACATCGAGAGGAGTCAGTTGAGGTGGCTCGGACATCTTCTTTGGATGCCCCCTGGACGCCTCCCTCGGGAGGTGTTCCAGGCACGTCCCACTGGGAGGAGGCCCAGGGGACGACCCAGGACATGCTAGAGAGACTATGTCTCTCGGCTGGCCTGGGAGCGCCTAGGGCTTCCCCCAACAGAGCTGGAGGAGGTGTCTGCGGAGAGGGAAGCCTGGGTGTCTCTGCTTAGTCTGCTGCCCCCGCGAGCCGGTTCTGGATAAAGCGGAAGACGACGAGTACGAGTACGAGATTCATGTTCTCTGCTTGCAAAAATAACAGAACCAAATTCACTCCATAATTTCTCGCCATTTCATCACAAGTTCCTCAGCGTTCAATCAGAGGATCCTCTGCATTCCATTAGAGGTTCCTCTACGTTTCATCAGAGGTTCCAGAGGTTCCTTGGCTCCCTGCTGAGGTTAGACCAGGATGAACTCTGTTCTTTACCTGCAGACTGATGTTCCCGTAGCTGTTCTTCAGCATGGTTACCACCTCACTGTGGGACAGACCGTCCACCGACTGACCGCCAATGCTGACGATTCTGTCTCCCACCTGCAGAGAAACACCAAGTCCAAAATAACCAACCCATAAGGAGAAACTTTGGAAGAGCTAAGTCACATCGTTTAATCAAAGCAGGCGAGCAGGAACCCACATAAAACCTGCAGACAAACAGGTTTCTTAGAACAAATCTGATCCATGGACTGGCACAGAAAGACACACCATGGACCAATGGTTCAGCTTCTTAGGTGGAAAACGGGACCCAGCAGTTGGCTGAGATAAGGGTAATGGTGCGGCGGAACTTGTTCTCATAAAGATCAAGAATAACCAGAAGTACAATCAAACAGCTGCTTTTGTTTCTCCCAAAGTAACACCTTCAATCAAAGATGGACTCTGCTGGACCCACACCAAAGGAGAATTCAATAGAGATAACAGAAAGTCCAAGTACTGACAGAAACTCCTGGTCCAACATCCACAGACCAGACCTGAGGAGGAGGGAAGAGGAGGAAGAGCCAGTATCGGAAGGAGACAGCAAAGCCTTTGGAGTCCATCAGGAGGACGGACTAGAAGGAACCCAGAACCTGAGAGGCCCATTATGGAGGATAAGCCCTCTAAGGAGCGTACAGCTGAGCTCTAAGATGGCATGATGACAGGAACTGGCTTCCAGCATGAAGAATTAAGGCCCAGGTTCTACCACTTTACCCAGAACCAAAGATCCAGGCAGTTGAAAAACTCCCCAGATCAACAGGATGAAAGCAGCAGACCACTAGACATGCATGGAACCCAACAAGCAAGAAGCTGGAAGAGAGTACAGGAACATCTGTGGAGAGTACAGACAGGAGCTCCGTTCTGTACTATCCGACCCAGTTCTCTGGACTCACTGGTGATGCTGCTCTGTGGATCTCATTCCTGGACCTTCCTCAACAGAGCTGAACTTCAACTTCTCCATCCGATCCTTGGAGCTTCTCTGTTGACCGACTGACAGACTCCACCATGTGAGAACAAGGCCAGAACCAACCCACTACTGAAGAACCAGTCCAGAAACACAGGCTGCAATGGTTTGGTCCAATCTGCTGAATCAGAGCTCTTCCTCAAATTCAGTGACCTTTGCACTGGAGGGTGAAAGGTGACGTCTCAGCATGGCATGGCCACAGCTCTGGGATGTGTCCAGTTTCTTAATTGGGTGATAAGCAGGGGAGCAACTAGACCAGCAATGGCTCACCTTCAGCCGTTGCGTCTTCGCTGCCACGCCGTTGGCTTGAATCATGGCGATGAAGATGGGGATGTCCCCTAGAGGGCTGCCCTTTCCTCCCGCTATGCTCACCCCGAGGGAGTCTCCGGCACCCTGGGTGGGTCAGAGGGAGATGGTCTGAGTTCCAATGGGATCACCTTCGGCACCAGAACTTTATTTATTCACATTAAACCAGAGTTTTGCTTTAGAGAGACACTGTCTGCTGCTCAGTGATTGGACCAAATATTCTATTTAGTCTTTATTTCAAATATATGTCCATCAGATTGAAAGATGTCAATCAGATAGTTTTTGATCAGATAGATGGCGATTGGACTGAGATCGATCGGAGAGACGGCTGTCCATTAGAAAGTCTGTATCTGGTTTCTTAAAGGTATAGTGGAGGATTTTCGCAATTTTTTTTAAAAGACCCACCCTCTTTACTTAAAAAAAAAGTACATATACATGACCTTGTACCCACTCCTAAGAGGTAAAGCCTATTAAACGCGTGCAAGAGCATGCACAAGCCCGTTTCTCCTCGTGCACGCTCTGTTTAAAAGTTGCTGTTCTCATAGCTCATGACTGGTCTAGTTCTCATCTTTGCAAAGACAAAATGAAGTTCCGACTGAGTGAATTATCATCGATCTCCTTAAACTGGATTACATAGCTGAGTATTTTTTTTTTCCGTTTTGTCCCTTTTCTCACTCTGCCAAAGATTTGTTTCTTACAATGTAAAAAAAACAAAAAAACATCCCCAACAAGATTAGATTTGGAGGCGTAAGATTATAATGTTCATAGATTTAATTCCTTATTCTTAGTGCTTAACCTTAAAATATAGTCTTAATTCCAGAAATCTTATGTTGTCTCTGCATGGACAGATAATCTAAATTGTTTTGAGGATCTATTTTCATCCAATGGTTTTTATTTAGTGTTTAGATAATCTTTTTTGCAGTGTTGGATGGTTCTGTACTGGTTTGATTTGTTTAGACCGAGTTCAAGACTGATTCGGTGAGTTCACTGATTCACTAAAATATCTTGGAAGCTGTTGTTGCCTCTTTCTGGCAAACTGACACTTATAGGTTTAGGCTACAGTAGAATCAGATTCAGAGCCATTTGTGACAGAGTTATTGGCATTATTTCAGCAAAGTGTTTATTGTAAACTGGTCTAAACTGGGATTGGTTGGAACAATTGGATTATAAATTGGTGCATGGTTGCTATGAAACGCCTCCAGGTAGAAGTCCATCTCTCCAGTATCTGTTGAACATCATTTCAACCGGACCAGGTACAGCTTTTATTCAACCAGATTTCCGGAACGTTTTAGATGGTTTTTGTTTTGCAGAAGCTGCAGATGTTTTAAATGCTGCTAATGTTCTTCATCCTGTTAATGCCACACCACTGTAGAGAGCTGTGATCCAATCAGAGAGCAGCAAACTTAAAGGAATAGTACACCCAAAACATGATTAGCCTTCATTTTCTACTCACCCCCATACTGAACAACACTGTGGAGTACTTTTTTGATATCTCAAATGCATCTGGAGATCTGGGAGGCTTCTTGCTGTCTGCTGACATTCAAATAATGGAGGTGCCCAGCGCCCGAGGTAGAAAGGTCCATAAAAGTCCACAAAAAACGTGTCAATATTCCTCCATACTGCTCGTCCAATGTATTCCAAGTGTCCTGAGTGGGTAGCATCCAGAATTTACTCGAAACGAAGTCATTTAGAATGTTTTTAGAGCATAAACAGTAGTGTATAGGATTTCCTGAAAGCGCGCACATGTGCGATCACGACGCTACGGAAGCCGGCAGACCAAACCAGCGCATTCAGCTCGGCAAAGAACTCATGCTCTTCCTCAACACTGAAGTCCTCAGACATTTTTCTTTCGTTGTTTCTTTCTTTGCACAGGTAAACAGCACATTTCTTCTTCTACGCTTGCATTATTGGAAGAGCAGACGCTGAATGCGCACTTTCATCTGGTTTGGTCTGCCGGCTTCCGTAGCGTCGTGATCGCGCATGTGCGCGCTTTCAGGAAATCCTATACACTACTGTTTATGCTCTAAAAACATTCTAAATGACTTCGCTTCGAGTAAATTCTGGATGCTACCCACTCAGGACACTTGGAATACATTGGACGACCAGTATGGAGGAATATTGACACGTTTTTTGTGGACCTTTCTGTCTCGGGCACCATAGACCTCCATTATTTGAATGTCAGCAGACAGCAAGAAGCCTCCCAGATCTCCAGATGCATTTGAGATATCAAAAAAGTACTCCAGAGTGTTGTTCAGCATGGGGGTGAGTAGAAAATGAAGGCTAATCATGTTTTGGGTGTACTATTCCTTTAACAGTGAATGCATCACCTCAGAGCTGGTTCTGGTTCTGCATTAAAACTCTGTTGATGACTAAGGTAAACATAACTGCAGATGTTACAGAACAGGTTCTGGTTCTGAACCAGTTGTTCTACAGACTGTGGGGGATGAAAAGTGTGCAGGATAACAGATCTGTGTGTGAGACGATTTTACCCTGGTGATCTCCACGGTCCGGAGCCCCGCCTCCAGCCCTGGTGCTCCATCTCTACCTGAGCTGCTTTCAGAACTGGAAGTGATGTCACTGCTGGCCTTGCTGCAGTCAAGCGGCTCCGTGGTGGTGGGGGGGTCAGGTGAGACGGTTGTCTGTGGGAGGGGCGGAGCCACAACCCCCGAGGAGCTGCTGCTGCTGAGGTGACTCATCTGAAAGGAAAACAGAAACATTTAGATTCTCACTGTGATTCTGAAGAACCAGACAGAATACCATCTTCTGTCTCTGGATGTTCTGGTCTTCACATGTTCAGGATTCCACTGCAGCTTAATTTTCATCCTCTCTCTTGAAGTGAATCCACACTACAGGATGAAGATAACCTGAACTTCTGCAGAACTGTTCCAAAAATTCTCCAAACCTCCACCCCAGGCTTAGGATCGAGGGTCGTGCTGGATTTAGCTCCATATCTCTCCCTTCAGCTGTGACCAGCTTCACTGTCCCACAGCATTATGCTGCCACCACCTTGTCTCACTGTGAGGCGCTGTGTACCCCAGAGCTGCTGATTTCTGCGGCTCCTCCAGAGTAACCATTGTCTCTGATTAATGCTCTCATCCAGCCTCGTTCCACTGGATTTGTTCACGGTAACAGAGAACCAGGGTTATTAACAAACAGTTCTGCTTCGATCAGTCTGTGTTTTTAAGAAAAGTCCAGTTTCTGTTTCATCGCAAGATTTAAAAAGGTTACAAGAATGTGAGTACCTTTGGAAAGGAACCATGAAAACAGAAGAACTTCAAAGCCACAAGGGACAAACTGACCAAAATGCTCAAACTGGACCAAGAAACGAAGAGCAGATATTTCCCTGGACAAAGCTCCAGTTCCAGCCATGACAATGGTACCAGTTCTGATCTGGATACAGGCACCCACCTGGCTCCCCTTAAAGGCCAGTTTAGATGGGATCCATGAAGCAGCTTTCAGCCGGCCAAGCTCCAACTGGACCGGCTTACGGGTGCACTGCAGAACACAGAGAAGAGAGGAGATTGTAGCTTGTTTTCCAGCACCAAAAGCCGCTGCTGTAACCTTTCAGCTTGGAAAGTCACTATTGGCTGTCCTAAAAGTCACCAGAAGTTGCTAAATGATGTAATCGCCTAATTTGCATATTCTGTAGTGTTTTGGTCCAGCCATAGGAGAGAGGAATGTCAAAGATGGCAAGTAAGTGATTAAAAACACTTTTTAACTGTATGTAAACAAATCAACTATAATATAATTTACCTGAACCTAAACAACATGAATCAATCTTTTTATGATATCAAATTTGACTTACAGTAAAGGCATTTAGCAGAGGCACAGTGAATGAGGCTGTGTATAATTTAAATACAGGGATATCCAACAGTCATCTCTTTCATTACTTCCTTATTTTATAAACAAAATAATAAAGAAAGGAAAAATCTTTAACAGTAGCTGAAACTAATTTTAAATGTAAATGTCTATGTTAAACTATAAACCAGAGTTCATTCAAGCCTCACTTTCTTCAATATAAAGAGTGAAGCTAACGTTAGCTTAGCTCAATTGTTGGCCAAAATTATTTAGTCCAGCATAGTTTAAGCATGTTGTATGGGAGCAATATTGTTGCACAATTATTTGCAAATGTGTGTGGAGAGTTGTGTGTCTGTATCTAGATTTGCGTGTGTGCATTGGGATTTGAAAATGTGTGAGGAGATTCGTCTGTCTGTACGAGTATCTGCAAATGTATCTAATGGATTTGCGATTGTGTAAAAAAATTCACAAATCTGGTCTAAACTGGGATTAGTTTGGACCAATTGGATTACAATTTTTTCAAGAAAAGCCAGCGCCATCACACCCGACTTAAATACTGAGGGCACCTCTTGTTATAGCTCATTGACAACACTAGGGGGTATTTCGTGATTCAGATATCAATAGATATAGTTTTGACTATCGTAATTTTCGGACAATATGCCGCGACTTTTTCCCCATTTTTCGACCTTGTGGCTTATATAACAATGCGGCTTATCTATGGAATTTTACAACTAACGGCCACTAGGGTAATACCTAAATCTATGGATTTTACCATCTTGCATGACGACGTCACATTTGCTTCAACACACAAGTACGGTAGCCGGGCGCGCGGGAATGCGGAGGTCCTCCGGAAGCAGACTTCTACCGCGAGTGGTACGAGACAGAACGACAGCGAGAAAGTCAGACATTGCAAGCGCAAGACAGTTTGTGTGACAACCTCATTATGGAAAACAAACGTACCGGTCAATAAATGGGACCTTCTATTGCACTAAATTGTAACAGTTAACGTATGCAAATATGCTAATTGTTGAAATGTTAATAAATAGGAGCTTCTCCAAACAATTGCCTCTTTCCCGACAATCCTCTCTGTGCAAGAACCATATGGTAATTAAACATAAAAAACCTGAGGCTTAAAGTTCGGTGCGGCTTGTATATGTAAAAGTCGTGCAATTTAGCTTCTGCGGCTTATATTCAGGTGCGGCTTATAGTCCGACAATTACGGTAGTCAAAATTAACTGAGATATATTGTGTGAAACCTTAAATTATAAATCAGGCGATGCCATTTGAGATATCTCAAAAGGCGTTTTGACTCCAAAATGTGATGGATTGATATCTTGAATTGTTAGTTTTACTAGTCATAATATAATTTCAGATATCTTATCACTCAGGGTATTCAAAATTTTGTTTTTCCAAGGTAAAACATTTTCTTTGATATCTTAGAAGTAATTACGGATGGTCAGAAGAAGCTGATTCTTTGATAAACACTCAGGGCAGCAAATCAAGATATTACACATACGAATCCTCTCTATGCATTTGCAGATCTCAGACGGCAGAAGTGTAGCAAAAATCACATGTGTAAAGAGAGCCAACCGAGAGACTGCTTAACTTGTAACCAATGATTTGTCTGTATTTCTGGGTGTTGAAGCAAAAACATGTTAGACTTAAGTGACTGTGTGTTTACAGACTGATCTACACATTTTTATATCTTAACACACATTTGTAGCTCTGAATACAAATTTGTGGATTTTTTACACATTTGCAAATCAATTAGACACATTTGGAGATACTCGTACAGACAGACATTTTTAAATCCCACTGCACACACACAAATCTAGATAGAGACACACAACTCTCCGCACACATTGGCAAACAATTTTGCAACAATATTACACCCATAATGTCACTTAAACTGTCAGAACACATTAATGACTGTGATTTCCCAAGTTATGTAATAATGACCTCACTTAAAGGAAAATTCCGGTTTTTAACACTTTTAGCCCATTTTCTGTAGTGTCCAGGATGAAATCGAATGATCGACACCAAAATTTTGACGAGTGGTCCTGTCTCTGCTATTTGGCTCATGCAGAATCCCCCCCTGGCTGCTTCAGAATGGCTTCCATAGTGCATGTCCGATAATGTCCTTAAAACAACCTTAAACGTTCTTTTTTTAAAATATGCTACTCACCGGGTCGTCAGCGCTGTTCAATGACGTTCCAAAAAAAGTTTCGTGAAGAAAAACCGTTCCTGTCTTGTTTTATTTAGCATTTTGTAAATCCCAGAACTATTTTTTCCGATACATCACAACCGCTTATAAACTTCCGCTTCCCGTTCGAATCTGAAGCGTTGCACACTCCAGACCACTAGTTGGCGACGGTATCCTCTACCGTCAAACTCAAAGTCCAATATGTCCTCCTCAAGAATCCACCTTTCGTATTCCATTTTCAGAGTTTTTTAAAGTGTTTAACAGAGACGTTAGCACCTCGACGTCGGAGTACACAGAGTGAAGCAGAAACACTTGGGCCTTGCGAAAAGACTACAACTAAGCGTAAACAGGCCCCATTTCCGTTTCCGGTGGCGGAGGGATATTGACTATTCCAACAGAACTCAATGGGATTTACAAAATGCTAAATAAAACACTACAGGAATGTTTTTTCTTTACGAAACTTTTTTTGGAACGTCATTGAACAGCGCTGACGACCCGGTGAGTAGCATATTTTAAAAAAAGAACGTTTAAGGTTGTTTTAAGGACATTATCGGACATGCACTATGGAAGCCATTCTGAAGCAGCCAGGGGGGGATTCTGCATGAGCCAAATAGCAGAGACAGGACCAATTGTCAAAATTTTGGTGTCGATCATTCGATTTCATCCTGGACACTACAGAAAATGGGCTAAAAGTGTTAAAAACCGGAATTTTCCTTTAACCAATTTTTAACAGCTATTAACCTGAAGAGATTTTGCTAACGTTACTAGCCACAACCAGGAAGAAAAAACTGTACCGTCTCAGAGAAAAGTAGCCAGTCAGAGGTTGTTTACTTTCCCCAGTGGTTACAACCCTCAAAGCAAAGTGACAAAAGTTGACATGAGAGTACAGAAACAAATCCACATACAATTATCAGGGGCTACAGGGCTGCAGAAAGCAGATAAGGAACATGCACCCTATGTGAGATACTGGGGACATGTTGAAAATGGAGAGTAGTTTACATTTTTTTATAGATAAAACTGCTTCTTTGAGTATTTATTGTGTTTGTGCCCTTTTGGCAGAGTTCTGACTCCATACTGGTGCTGCTGAGGGGACCCATTCTAACTGCAGCGATGGTGCTGCCACTTCCTGCCAGCCCACCTTCAACATGGCGGCCACTGCTTCCTGGGAGGCGTGGCGCGTCTCCTCTCCGTTCACAGACAGAATCTGGTCTCCTTGCATCAGGCGTCCGTCCAGCTCAGCAGCGCCACCTCTGACCACCTCTGAGATGAACACCCCACTCCCGCTCCTGATTCACACACAGACATTTTGGGACTGGTTAATCGGACCAGAGCATTTTAGAACCTGTATGGATCAGAATGAAGGTGAGCACAAAGAGTTCTGTGGATCATTGGCCCCGCCTGCTCCACACTCTGGTAGGATCCAGAAAGTTTAGGGTTTGCATATCTTGACCAGAACCATCGTCTGCAGAGGTGGTGAAAGAAAGAATGAAGAAGTCTAACCTCTTCCCGACGATGCTGAAGCCCAGTCCTCTGCCGCTCTTCTTCTGCAGTTCTACGTTAAACACATCCAGGTTCTCCTCCTCTCTGTACTGGGCTTCATCTCTCAGAACCGTCAGCCGGACCTTTGCCGGCGTCTGACGCAGGGCGGCGATAGCCTCTTCGTGTGACGCCCCGCGCAGATCCACGCCATTTACCTGAATGCAAACAGAACCGAGCATCAGCTGTGTTAGTGCAGCAGAACCACCAGCAGCACAACAGCAACCACGGTACCTCCAGAATCTGGTCTCCGGCCCACAGCCGACCGTCTCTGGCTGCTGCCCCTTCCTCATAGACCTCATGGATCAGGATGGCGTCCTGAAGGAGAAATCCTGACCCGTTTGTAATCAAGTGGTTCTGATTGAACTGATCCATCAGAATTGATCCAAACATGGAGTTGGCATCTCTGTTACCAGCTGTGTGTCCCGTCCTCCCACTATGCTGAGTCCCAGTCCAGACCGACCTTTGCAGATCTCCAGAACGGTTTCCTGACCCGGAATCACCGCGCAGCAGGATGGGTCTGAGGAAGAGGAGGAGTTCAGAACCAAAGCAGCTGAGGAAGGTATGATTCAGCGCATTGGTTGTACCTCTGTTAACAGCGTGGACATCTGCGCTGATCAGAGGAGGAGAAGCCGCTGGAGCTTTGCTGGAGCTGCTGCTGGACCTGCAGGACTGGAACCAGATCAGATCGGATCAATACCTGGGCTTTGTTCAACTGTACCAGAACCAAGGCCTGGCTTTGAGAGAACCTGTCCTCTGGAACATTTACTGTAGGCTTCCTCTACACATCTGACAGCCGAAGACTCATTAACCCAGAAAAATGTTGAATGAGGCGCTGTCCATCTTTAACAGAAGCTATGAGCTTCATCATTTTAAACATCAGCTGGTTCTTTGGGTCAGACCAGAACGTCCTCAGTACCACCAAATTGTCATGGGGAAAAAGTATTCAACTATTCACCCCAGTTAAATAAACAGAGATCGATAGATTTCAGTCAGTCGGCATTTTTTTTTATATCTTTGCAAAGAGAGAACAGTTCATCATACGTCCCTTATTGCAGTGTAATCAGCCCAGTTCTGATCTGGACAGAGTGTGTTCTCATTAATTATAATAATGGAAAGTAGTCAGAGTCAAAACAACTTGTAGACACTTTGGTTGAACGGTAAAATGTTATGAATAAACCTTGAGAAATAATCTGGTTTGTTATGGGAATGAGGTATGTCTTGTCTACACATACACTTATGCAGGGGAATTGTGTGGCCTTGCAGGTGACAGATTGAGTGAAAACTTTTGTAGTAAGTAAAAAGCATAAATTAATATATGACATAAGAGAAATTTCAATTTTCCAACCACAGTTTCACCCTTTCAATTATAAAAGGATATTATGCTTGTGTAATCGATAATAAAAAAGCAAAGTTAGTTTTCTTTACATATATTTACTAAGAAACTAAAATTGGTAACTATTAGGGGTGGAACGGTTCACAAAATCCACGGTTCGGTTCGGTTCACGGTTTCTTGGTCACGGTTTTCGGTTCGGTATATGTTGATTGTTACCCCGAAATCCCATAAAAATGAATGAAATTAATTCATGAATTGTAATTATTTTTAATGATCCGCAGAAACCCTGGATCATTTCCGCATGTTTTGCTCCTTTGAATTTAATCATCTCGCGCATGCTCTCTACGATCTCCAAGGAACTCAGAGCAGAGCGGACGGGAGCCACAGCGGAGGCTGTAGGCTTTGCTTTGTGCAGCCGGTCTGGAGCGCAGCGGGGCGGAGCGCAGTGGAGTATGTGGGATTTCGGGGTTAGCATGACATGTTGGTCATGTTGCTGTTAGCATAAACAAAACGTGTTGCACAATGCTTGCACACTGTTGCACTTTTATCCACAACTTTCTTTCCGCCGTCATCGTAGGTCACTCTAAATGCAAAGCGCTCCCATACAGCAGACCTATAAAGTGCTGCTGGCGCGTCTTCCAACTCCTGTTCTTTCCCACTCGCCATACCCACACAATTCTCCATAACAAATGATTTTATTTCCCTGCTACACTCGGCTACGCTGCTTCGCTTCTTCTTCTTCTTGTTTACTACTGGTGGTTGGCTTTGGTCGCAGTACCGCCACCTTCTGTTCTGGAGTGTAATCGCTTCGCCTATGAGAAAATGGAGCAGCGCATGAACCGAACGCAACACACGCAAATCGAACCGAGACAGTCGACCTGAACAGTTTTCATAAACCGTTCAAACCATTAAATCTACAGGAATTGCCATATTTGGGCATATTTCTTCACTACATGGCTAAGTTTACAGAATTGAAAAGGTTAAAGTTCTGTCAGTAGTTAAAACAGTTAAAAACAAAAACCGGAAACCTCCTTAGAACCGTTGAGACTGACAGTTTCAAGTGAACTTTGTTTAGAAGTACACAAACAGGTTGAGATCAAAGGCCCGGTTCTGCATGTTGGAATGTTTGGTTCTGTTTGTTATTTTCAGGATGGATCTTTCTTTTTTTTTTATGTGGAGGACATCCGGTTCTGAAACAATGATTTTCAGACAGAGACAGAAATAAAGCCTGTATGTTATGCGTTTACCTGAATCTCTGGCTGCACCCTTGGAGCCTTCAGCTCATCTTCTGGAGCCTCTGCAGCTTTGAGCCTCTGCAGGAGCAAAGATAGATGAGATTGGGTCAAGGAGAACCCGTCCTGTCTGAGTGGTGCAGCAGGAGCAGGTCTGTGGAATATTAACACTGAGGGGAGGTGGTCCCTTCTTCATAACCTGGTTCCTCTAACGCCTCAAAACATCATTAAATTTGTCTGCAGGACTTCATTCAGACTCTAACCTGCGTCTTACTGAAGGCTTCGGAGTTTCTCTGAACCTTCTTGAGTGTATCTTCCTCTGTCAGCCTCCTGGAGGCGCCGTCGCTACTACTGGTTCCGTCGTTCCGAACAACCTCATCAGTCAGGGTCTCCTCCTGTTCAGAGGACCACGGTAAAGTTCACAGCACTCTGACATGATTACTTAGAGAAACAAGTTAGTGATGAAGACTGACCGGAGTGCCCGGAGAGGGGAGGGGCCTCATACTGTCTGTTGGGTGGGGCTCTTCAGAGGGGGCGGAGCCACCAGACTGTGGTGTCGGCAAACCCTAAAGTAGAGGCATTCCAGGGTTAACATTTAGCTAAACAACAGTTTCTGATCATTTCTTCTGATAAATTATATTTTATGGAAACATTGTTTTAAATCCGAGGTTCTGAATCTGCCTGATGAAGAGTGATGTTGTGAAATGATTCCTGTTACCAGAAGAACTTTACCCATGCACCTAAAAAATGGTAAACTCTGAGGTGTGAAGTCTAGACCCTGCAGCCGTGGCTCCTTTCAGAAGTCTCTAGATGTTTACTGAGGTGTTTGGAAGTGTGTGGTTACCTCTGGGCTGACTGGACTCAGGGTGGGAGGAGGAGCAGGAGGAGGAGTCGTTAGAGGAGAAACCGCCATCTGGGTTAGAGCATCATCACTCCTACAAAACACAGAAGAAGAAAATCACAGCTGTTTGGGTTTCTGTAGAAGAAGATTATCACCACAGAACCACCTGAACATCAGACTAAAAACCCTTTAGAGAGGAAACTAACCAACAAACAATCTGAATTTGACTGATTGTTTGATATCTAGGGTCTAATTATCTGATCTCTCCACCATCCAGGACTGGCACAGGTCTGGGGTCAGGAAAGGCAGCTAACACCTCTGCAAGCCCCACACATTAAAGCAGGTTTTTTACTTGACCCATATAGTTTTTTTTTTATTGGTTTCTATTTAACTTTTACCAAATCAGGAAAGATCAAACTTTTAAACAAGCTGAGTCCAAAATTCAAACCAGTCCAAATCCAAAGTTAAACCACATTTCATCCAACTTAAAAAAAGTCCAGATCTTTAAATCCAACGTTCAACCAGTTTAGATTTACCTTCAAACCAGTTGTAGTCCAACTTTAAAGCAGACTAGATTCCAACGTAAAACCATTTTAAATCCTGCTTTTTACCCGTCCCAATTTAAATTAGTTTAAATCAAGTTGTCAACCAGTCTAGATCCAACATTAAACCAGTTTTAACTCAGTTAAAACACTGATTCCAATGTTGATTAGTTTAGATTTGACGTTGAATTCAGTTTATAACCAGTCCAGATCAAAGATGCAGGATTTGAAATGGATCTCTGTAATGTGAAGCTGTGCTAAATTGACTCAAGCTTATTTTTCTAATTAGAGAAACGCCTTGAAAGACGAGCATTGTGTTTTACCCAAAATGCCTTGCAGTCTTACCTTAGCAGGATGAGCTGCACCTTGGGGGCGGCGCTTTTAATGATGGCCGAGGCGTTCTGGTGACTCCGTCCATAAAGAACCTGATTGTTGATCTGATAAAACACATGAACCTTGTAAGGTGACCTTCTGACCCAAACGGATCAACCAACAGGTAGAAACAAACTTTAAATCCAATGAGTGAAGGTCAGTAATCCTGACAAATCAGCAGAACCTTTTCTTCAGATGACATGACGACAAACTGAGGTTTTAAATGTAAGAAACTGCTTCCTATGATTGATTCACTTTAACTTTTTAATATTAGTTTATCTTTAGAACATCCTTCAGATCAACATCACAGTTATAAAATATAACGTCAAGCCTCCTCACCTCCAACAGCTCGTCTCCAACATGGATGCGTCCGTCACGGGAGGCCGGCCCACCTGGATGGAGTCCAACCACGAAGATGCTGAGGCGGGAACGGTCCCTGTTTCCCGCCAGGCTGAGACCCAAACCCTGCCGGTCCTTCTCCAACTCCACGCACAGCAGCTCCCCCTGCAGGTCTCCATATCGCTCACACCAACGCTCTGCAACAAAGACATGAGGAGGAAAGAGACGGAAAAGCTGATTTCATCTTTGAGGAAGTGTTCAGAGGATCAACAGTTTGACACCAATATTGGAATAGCAGACAAATAATCCAGAGCGGCGGCCATAATGTCTAACCTCTCAGATGGTTCTGAAAAAAGTACGATTCCTCAGCCACTGATAGAACCACTTTGGGAAATGTCCAGGTAAAAAATAAAAATAAAAAATAGCCTAGTTTACAGCTTACCTCTATAGCAGTACTCAGTTCATCCAAAATTAAATCCACCCCTCCCTTGTTACTTCAGGTTTTTCCCAAGGCTCTGTCCTGGGGCCCCTCCTCTTCGTCATTTACATTTTTTCCCCTAGAAGTACTTGCTTTAGCTCACCTCCCTAACTGATGGCATGTCTGACCTAAAAACCTGGTTCACCCAAAGCTTCACTAAGCTAAACAGTAGCAAAACAAAGTAGGGTTGCAATTAACGATTATTTTGCAAATCGATTAATCTGTCAGTTACTTTTTTTGATGAATCAGTTAATAATCGGATAGCCAAAGATTCGTTAAAGAAAATTTTTTTACGAAATAATACCAGGTGAAACTCAAACTTTTCTACTTGAGTTCTGTTTAGAGCATATTGACAAAGAAAAACGTTCTTCTCATAAGTGCAAAACGTTAATATATTTTTTTACTGTTTTGATATTGTTACTACTTTAAGTGGGACGCTGTGTCAGCTAAAGGCATATTTTACAGTCTCTATACTCCAGCTAATGATTAATTGTGATTAATCATCGATTAATCACAATCAATCCAATAGTTTATGATCTAAACCAAAGGTTCTCCTCATTGGCACCAAATCCACCCTATCCAAAGCTGGCAGCTTTTCTCTCATTAATAATGCAATTTCCACCAAGGTTAATAGTCTAAAGGTATCATCATTGATAGCACGCTGTCTTTCCAATTCCACATCAGTAACATTACCACGTCCTGGTACATCTTATTCAAATTCCTCCTGATAACATCTAAGACCATTTATAAACTTGCCTCTTTGTCCGTCCTCCATCATCTCCCCCCTCCTTTTTCACTTAGCTCATTCTCCATACACACATCTGTCCCCTCCATCAGCTGCAGAGCATTCAGTCACTGAGCTCCCCCTCTTTAGAATTCATTAACGTTCCAACTCTGAGAGATTGACTCACTCCCACATCTGTTTATGACTGTCTACTCCATCTGATGGCTATTGTTTTAGTGATTTGTTTTTTTTCCTTGTTGCCGTTTATTCTTAACGGTTTAATCTTCTTTTGGCTTCAAGTTCCGGTGGGGAGCATTATCTTATCTTCTGGTTGTTCCACATGCTAATCTCTGTTCATGGTGGTTTCCTCTTGCTGTGCATGTGCATTTCTAGTTTTTATGTATCCAGTAAGTTCTGGTTTCAGCCAATGATTGTAGCTCTGCTGTTCTCACTATTAGGGAACGGTACCAAATTCAGTAGTTTTATAGGTTCTGACTGGATTCCTTCAGTACTGCTGAGCACCTATTCACATAAAATCAAACAGCATCATCTTTCAGTACCTAAATGCATTAGTGACAGACAAAAAGAAAGATTGGGAGATTTTCCATGCTGGACCTGCACACACTAGAGCGTGATGACGAAAGAAGCCACTGATACAGTAGACAAAGCATGGGCGTATTTAGGAAATTTGAGGCCCTAGGCAAAGACAGGCAGGGGGCCCCTCTGAATTGAGAAGACAACACATAAAACAGACCCATTATACAGATACAGAAAATTTAATAGAATAGACAAACATTATTTGTTTTAGGTTTTGTTCCTCTCTTCTTGTCCCTTTTCTTGTTGTTTTCCTCTATAATTTGTATTCATCTGACTTTTGATGCTGTCTCAAAAGGAATGAAAGATTTTTTTCCAAGCACTAAGCTCACTTAGCTGATTGCTCCTTCCTGTGTTTCCAAAAAGGCGACGGCAAGATTCAATAACACAATGATCTGCTTCTCTGTTCTCCAGTTTTCATTTGGATGAAATAATATCTGCATGAATCATGACAGCAGACAAGATAGAGGAGAGCAGGAGGGTTACCAATCTACTTGCTCTAGAGAGCAGAGTTCGCTGCTTTTATATGTTTCTCCAGTAGCGGAAAAAAAGTCGCTAGATTTGCAGCTAGGTGCTTTTTTCAAATAAAAGCGCTAGAGCGTTTGTTTTCAAATGTTTGCTGCTGTCTGTTTGAACGTCTCTGAACATCCAATGTGATGGACACTGAAGGGGGGTGGGGGGGAGGGCGCGGGACACACTTAACATTATAAGCATTCTGGTGGCATTTTAGCGAAAGGATTTTTATTAAAAACATAATGTGCACATATAAGGAATAATTGTATTAACTATACATGTAAACAGAGTTTTATGGGGCCCCCAAGAAATTGGGGCCCTAAGCAACTGCCTGATATTGCCTAATGGTAAATCACCCCCTGAGACGAAGTAAACATGTTTAAAAGGAAGCACTTAAGAGTTTGGCTCCACTTTTCAAAATGCATATATATGCGGAGGTCATTAGCACACAGATACTTTTTTCAGATCTGTGGAGGGAACAGTCTTGAAGCTTCAGTCAGCCATGAAGCTAATCACAGAGCACAGACGGAGCAGCAGGCTGCTGTAATCACTAGCAGTCGCTGCTTGGCTATATTCAACACTAATATGCTTATATCTGCTAATTTGCTGTGATGGCTCATTTTGCTCTGAGAAGAGTCACCCAGTCAGGATTAAAGGACATATCAGATTTTCAGGATAGAGTATTCATGATTTAAAAAGAGAAACCATAAAGTCGACAACACACTGAAAGCAAATGTCTGTCACTACATGTTTATCCAGGAGAAGTAAATCCTGCAAAATCAATGACTTGATGTAATCCGCTGGGTTTCTCAGATGGAAAATCATTAACCAATTTGATTTGATTGAACTGAGTTTGTAATGTGCCTTGAGACAATGTCAGGGAAGTCGGTTTGATACAAATAGACTGAATAGCAGCAAACATGTTAAACAGTTAGCAACATGGAAGAGGCAGCATCATCATAGTATGATCCAGATAAGCCTGGTATTGATGATTAGACAGTTAAGTTCTGACACAGACTTTCAGGTGGCAAGATGTAAAAAAAACGCGGTGTTATTTTTTCTCAGGACTTGTCCTTTAAATTATTATTAAACAAGTTCAGGATAGAACTATATTTTCTTAAATCCACTCTCTCACATATAAAGCCCTAAATAATCAGGCTGCATCTTATATCAGAAATCTGATTGTTCCTTATGTTCCTAACAGCACTTCATTCTCTTCTTCTTCATTCAAGTTTACAAGTGGTTCCCAGAATTTCTAAAAATAGAATGGGAGGCAGATCTTTTAGTTATCAGGCTCCTCCTCATGTTTAAGTTTGCTAGGCAGACAACCTGTCTACTTTTAAGGGTAGGCTTAAAACTTTCCTTTCCTTTTGAAAAAAAATGGCTCTATAGCTGTTAGGGATGGAACGGTTTATGAAAACCGTCGGAACCGTTCGGTTCGATTCGCGTTTGTTTCGTTCGGTTCATGCGCTGCTCCTTTTTCTCATAGGCGAAGCGTGTACACTCCAGAGCAGAAGGTGGCGGTACTTCGACCAAAGCCAACCACCAGTAGTAAACAAGAAGAAGAAGAAGCGAAGCAGCGTAGCCGGGTGTAGCAGGGAACAAAATCAGTTGTTGTGGAGAATTGTGTGGGTATGGCGAGTGGGAAAGAACAGGAGTTGGAAGAAGCGCCAGCAGCACTTTATAGGTCTGCTGTATGGGACCGCTTTGCATTTAGAGTGACCTACGATGACGGGAGAAAGGAAGTTGTCGATAAAAGTGCAATAGTGTGCAAGCATTGTGCAACACGTTTTGTTTATGCTAACAGCAACATGACCAACATGTCAGCTTAGAGATTTTCCTAACAATCAAAATATACCGAACCGAAAACCATGACCACGAAACCATGAACCGAACCGAAGGTTTTGTGAACCGTTCCACCCCTAATAGCTGTCTTTATTCTTATGCTGCTATTGGGTTAGACTGGTGGAGGACATAAAGATAACTATCTCTTATTCAGCCCATTTTATCTCCACCAAGGAGGTTATGTTTTTAGTCAGGTGTGTGTGTGTGTGTGTGTTTGGTGTGTGTATGTATGTTTGTCTGTCTATGTACTGGATGACTTGAAAAGTTATTAATGGATTTTAATGAAGTTGTTACCAAAAGGCACATCTCAGTCAAAGAAACGAAATATAAAATGATTCTGATGATCCACATCATAATCTAGATATAGGAATCTTTTAGGGATTCTTCAACAATATCAGGCGGAAAAAGCAGTTCCCCCATAAATCAAAGGGTTGCAGCACTGACTTTTGACACCTTCAGCATGGCACTCAAAAAAGTCCGGAAGTATTATTCTGAAGACCAAAACACAGGAATGGTGAGCCTGCCTCAAAGTCTTGATCTGCTTATTAAACAAGAAAGCAGAGATCCGAGTGAATAAAGAAAGTGAGAGCAGAACAAACACCAGAGGCTGCAGACACACGCTGTGCCTTATCTATAAACTTATGAAAGGCTTTTAAGGAAATTGTTACCAAAGGTGCACCTCATGCCAAAGAACAACTCATTAAAGCTTGATTATGATCCAGATCATGTGTGTTTGAGCTATAGATGTAAGTCACAATATGGAGCAAAATTTGCTGATTGGTGGAGGTCTGTACACTGAGTGCTTTTCTAGTTAAATATGTAATAATAACACGATGAGGATGGAAGTTAATTGCCGCCAACAGACCAAGGTTTAAGCTCCTGATGAAGAAGCAGCATAAGCATCTGGGGTCTGATTAAGTTTCTGCTTCATTTGTTTCATTAGGAAGAAATAAACACTGAAATGGTGCTGATCCTCCCTCACCCCATCTTTATCAGAGCTGCAGCAACTCCAGAGGGCCACCGCAATGCATCAGCAGCTACAC